AGCCTCGGAAATAAGAGAAGGAGAAGAGCAATCACACAATACCGGGCTCGAAACCTACACAAGTGTAGAAGCAAGAAGTGAGTACCAACCAATACGGTACTCAAAAAGTAACCAAATAAACAAGGCAAAACTATCTAGGAAACGAGTATTTCTTTCATTCCAACCGAACCTCCTAAACTACAACTTGCATAGAAATCAGTCCAACCTAATAGTTTTACAATATACAATTCATAAGGCTTAACCATCATAGTTCAATAATTATCAAGTATCAAATATGATAATCACAAGTGTCAAGTTCATCAAGAACATTATTCAAGTACAATGAACACAAAATTGCAAGATTTGTCATGCACATTACTTATCGGAACTCATGGGAACCGCCCATAGTTTATGAACTCGCCGGTAATGACCTCTGCATCAATAGAAATTTACGTAAATAAACTCGGCATCAACAACACTTGTCGGAAATGACCTCGGCATAACTAGCACTTGCCGAAAATGACATCGACATCAATAATACTACCGAAAATGACCTCAGCATCTATAACCATTACATGTCTCATCACAGTTCTTAGAAATCAATGCAAATAAGCAATTTCACATTCCGGAGGGATTCACATTATTATTTCTATTTTGTTAAGTTCTTGAGGGTCTTGTCTCGACATCTATCATAGTATTTAGAGGCTTCAGAGATAGTTAGTAGTTGAGGAGTCCTTCACTATTTCCCTTGTTGTTATTTTGAGACTTTGAGTCACTTACTTATGTTTAACTAAGCATTTCAGACATTTACTGAGTTGAGTTATTGTTGAGACAATTTGAGTTAATCTTTGCACTTGGAGTTCCCATTTTGCTTGAGAAAGTCTTTCGCTAAGTAGTCAGTAAGGCAAAGGGTTTTCTTGGGAACCAGTGATGGTTTTCGACTGCCGGCCACGTCCAGGGTGTAGGCTTGCGGCGTAACACTTAGGGCAGGCTGAATTTCTACAAAAAAATTGCAAAGGTGTGTGCCAAACATTAATATAAAATGTATCAGTTGATACTCACATGATACTAGACCTCTCTGAAGTACTGGTACATATTGAAACTAATTTAACAAAGAAGAATTGATATGTAGAATATGATTACACCACAATTACTACGAGTTCAATGTCAGTCAAACTTATTATACATTATTTATGCTGCTAATTTTCCTTACAAGAACTCAAAAGCATTTCTAGTTTTTGTTTAATTTGTTCTTTAAATTAGTGTTATTGAACAATGAGTAACTCACCTACTCATTCTTTTGGTGTAGTTATAACTAACATGAGTAATCATTATTCAATAAATATTCTCTTAAGGACAATTGCTTTAGTAGATAATCTTCAAGATCCATCCTCACAAAATTGGGGAGATCCTCCATATTATTCTCCATCAACAATCTACCCCTTTCTGGTAACAAGAGGAGGGACTTCACATCGTCTTCAAGAGGTGGAAGTGTCAATGAGGTATGTCAAAATAAGAACTCATCATGTTGTTGCACCTAAAAACATAAATAATCCCACAAAATTGAAGAAGTTTTCAAAAAAGAATCTGCAGAGATTTGTGTCATTTGTCAGGCAGAATATAAGCATGAAGAGATGGCACTTTGTTGCGGACATGAATATCACGCCGATTGCATCAAGCACTGGTTGTTGAGGAAGAGGGATTATCCTATTGTCGAGCTTCAATTTTTCCTTTCACATGAAGAAAGTTTAAGTGTTTAGAGATTATTTTTTTCTAAGATTATGTTGTATTAATCTGAAGTTTTCTTAATGAAGAAAAAATTGCAAGATTGATCATAGTTTGTGTATGTATATATATGTTAAAAATCATCTCATTAAATTTAGTAATACAAATTATTTTTAAGTAGTGGATGTCATGTTCTATATATCTTTGATACATACAAGAACAATTTTTTTTCCTATCCTAATATTTTTAAGAAACAACAAATTACAATATATATAATAATAATCTATCATTTTCACTATTATAGTCATGTTAATGTCATAAAAAAATTACTCTAGTAGTGTTAACGTTATTGATTCTTGAATTTCTTCTAATGTTTACCACTTTGTCCTAAACACTGAGTTTGAGATGAAAAAAACGATTGAGCCATAAATAAATCCAAATATAATGAATACACATCTACTAAATTTCGCAGCTTTAGTCCAATCATTGATGTGAGAAAAATGTTATAGCTCGTAAATACAATGAAGTTTTTCACAATAATTGTCACCTGAAGAAAATGGTCATGTCTGATAGGAAATAGACTTATGAATCATGGAAGAATCTCTCCAAATACCAAATGATGATTGAATAGTAAAAAATTGTGAAATAGCATGTGTGAATTGAAATTTGAGAAGGGATTATAGTAAGGATGATATTGAGAGGGACAAAAGGCAAAACAACATCTTCAAGTCCATCTCACCGTTTAGCTAATGCCCTCTCTTGTTTGTGAGTCTTTTGGTGTCCCCTAGTGCCTGTGAAGTAGAGAATTCTTTTTTGCAGAAGTTGCAATAGAAAACTTTAGCCTTCAAGGAACGTCTCTACTTGGGTATGCCTCACTGGAAGAATCACTAGTGTAAGCCGGAGTTGAATTAAAAAGATTGAGTTTAAGAATTGAACAACAATATAGATATATATTTTATTTTAAAATTTTAATTAAATAAAATGAAAAATCTTTTTGGGAAAGGCAAGCACAAACAAAGGTGCACTACAGGACAATAGTAGAAGAAAATCCAAATCTAAACTTCTCCTTCTATTTGAACCTAGAGGAGACAATCAAATTCAAGCACAACCAATGTTTGGGGAAGCAAACAAATTACCAAGATAAAAATACAAGGAAAAATTAAAACAACAATGTCAGACACCAAGACATGACGAATTTGAGTTTTCACCAAGACATGACGAATTTGAGTTTTCAACATCTCCCTAGTAGATCTATTTGCTTTTCATTATCTGAGTTTCTTATTCTTATTATTTTTTTCATTCTTTAGTGTGAAAATATGAGAAATACAAATAAAAAAGTGTGAATGAAAAAGAAGAATAAAGTAAAAATTAATGTTTTGTGGCTATGTTGTAATTATTTTTTTTGTATGAAAAAAAAATATTGGGCATCTATGATAAATTTTACAAGAAAATGAGTGAAAAAATAAATTTGACCATCAATATAATAAACCAAAATTAGTCGTTGAATCAAAGAAGCAAAAAGATTCACAGTGAGAAGGATAAAATATAACCCTATGTATATGGATTGTTATTTTTTGATAAAATATAAAAAATGAATTAAACCCATTAGACGAAAAGGGTAAGTCTGGGTCATTTATGTAACAATATGGGTATATATGAATCACTTTTTAGTGAGGGATAAATCAACTTAAATCATAATCTTGGGGGACATATAAGACCCCTAGATTCTTTCAAAAGTTTGGTCAAACTAGTTTTCAATTGACATTTTATATTAAACTAATTCACTAATCATCATTCCTTTGATTATCATGTGAAAAAAGAACCACATAATTCTATGTACAAATCTAATTAATTTTCTAGTGATCTAATACAATTTATATAAGTAATTAACTTTTATTGTATTTCATTTACTTCCTTCCATGACTATTTTCCCAAAACAAAAGGTTTAATTATAAGGATTTAACTCATATAGGTAAGTAAATAACAACTATATCAAAAATTTGATTCTAAAGAAAATTTGGAATAACACTTATTATATTTCCAAATGAACTAGGAAATATGGTAGGTCATGTGTATGTATATTTAATATGGTCATTACATCTCATTCCAACACAAATTAGGAATGCAACTAATTAGTTTCCCAATGAACTAGGAAATATGATAGTCCATCTCTATGTATATTTCATATTGTCAATATATTTGTTTTCCAAATTAATTTAGGAATGCAATTTATTATTTTTCCAAATGACTATAAGATATGGTAGGTCATCATATATATAGTTCAATGTCACTCAAACTTATTATACAGTATCCAAACAATTGCCTTCTGTTGAGGGTAATCAGAGTAATCCACAAAGCCATAGGAGGACTTGTCCTTCCTTATGAGCTTGTATACCTCAAGGGGACCGCGGGTGCTAGAGAAAACCTCTTGAACAAGTGGTTATGTGACTTGTGAGTTGATGTTTTCAACGTACATTCATACTTGCTGGAGTGTGCATGTATGTTGGAAACATCAATCCACAAGTAACAGAACCACTTGTTCAAGAGGTTTTCTCTAGCACCCGCGGTCCCCTTGAGGGATAGAAGATCATAAAGAAGGAAAAGTCATCCTATGGTTTTGTTGATTACTTTGATCGCCGATCAGTTGCGCTTGCTATTGTGAGCCTCAAAATGTATTGGATCTATAGTTTGAATTCGGCATGGGAATAAGGGTTTTAATTTCTTTTTGCAAAAAAAATTTAGTGTTTATAGATTATTTTATTCTAAGATTATCTTTTGCCTGCTTGAAGAATAGACAAGCACACAATCAGATTAAGAAGTAGACTACCAATTCAGGAGATATAATTCACACTACAGAAGACATTGAAGCAGAAACCATTAAATTTTATAGGCAATTTCTAGGATCATCAACCCCTGTGTTATCAGTAGTAAGGAGAGATATAATGAGCAGTGGACCAAGACTAACAAGAACACAACAGTTGGAACTAATAGCACCAGTCACAAAGGAGGAGATAATATCAGCGCTAAAAGGGATCAATGATCAGAAGTCACCTGGGAAGATGGATACAATGCCCTTTTATTTATAAAGGCATGGCCAATAATAGGCAAAGATATAATACATGCAACTCAAGAGTTTTTCAGCACAACTGAGATGTTCAAAGCTGTAAATTGCACATCTATAATACGATACCCAAATTCCAACATCCTAATACCATTGGAAAATACAGACTCATATCATGTTGCAGTGTTCTGTAAAAATCATATCTAACGTAATCACTGGGAGATTGCAAAAGGTGATGGATTACTTAGTGGATAATAGTCCAGCTGCATTTGTACCAGGAAGGATCATCCAAGATAATATCTTACTGACTCATGAGTTGGTAAAGGGCTATGGAAGGAAAGGAATTTTGCCAAGATGTATGCTGAAGATCGATATGCAGAAGGCATATGACTCACTTGAGTGGTATTACTTAGAGCAGATAATGGTCCAGCTAAGCTTTCCCGCACAGTTCATAAAGTGGACAATGGCATGTCTCAAAACTGTGTCCTACTAAATAGTGATCAATGGTAAACCAACGAAGCCATTTGATGCCAAAAGGAGTTTAAGGCAAGGAGACCCAATGTCCCCATTCTTATTCGTGATAGCTATGGAGTATCTTTGCAGGAGCTTGAAAACTATGACACATATGAAAGAGTTCAAATTCCACCCTAGATGTGCACAGCTCAAAATAGTCCAATTGGGATTTGCCGATGATCTATTACTTTTTTTGCAAATGAGAGGTACAATCTGTCAAGATGGTTTACCAATGCTTCCAGGAGTTCTCAATGCTTATGGAGTGGCCACTAATATGAGCAAGAGCTCCATTTATTTTGGAGGGGTGCAACCTATGGTGCAAGGACAAATACTGGAGAATCTATGTTTTTCTAAAGGAAATCTACCATTCAGATATCTTGGAATTCCACTAAGCACAAAAAGACTAGCAATTGATCAGTGCCAACCATTAATCGACAAAATGGTAGGCAGAATTACAAGCTGGACAACTAAGTTCATATCATACGCAGGTAGGATGCAATTGGTAAAAACAATCTTATTCTCCATACAAACTTTCTGGGCTCAAGTGTTTGTGCTACCAAAGAAGATTGTCAAGCTCATTGACTCCATATGTAGAAGCTTCTTATGGACAGGAAAGGAAGACGTATCGAAGAAAGCACTCTTTTCTTGGGATACCATATACAAACCTAAGTCAGCAGGGGGTTAATTTTACTAATATTACTGTGTGGAACAAAGCTGCTATTTGTAAGGCTTTGTGGAATCTGTGCAATAAAAAAAAAAAGTATGGGTGAAGTGGGTGCTCACCTACTATATACAAGGGAAACCAATCGAGGAAGTGCAAGAAAAGCAAGCGTCCTATGTGGTACAAAAGATATTGAAGTCTAGGAATTCTGTTGAAGAAGCTGGATATACAATGGAGGAGTTCACACAGCTAGACAAATTTCAGATAAGAAAGTTATATCATGTGATGAGAACGACCTTCGATACGGTGGATTGGAGAAGGTTGATATGCAATAACATGGGGATGAAATAATGGAAGTTTATTCTTCTTCTCGCCATACATGGGAAGTTGTATATAAGAGACAGATTGCATCGATGGGTCATCAACCGAGAGGTTCGTTGATGCCCTTGTGGGAATTTTGATGAAAGCATTTTTTATTGAAGTGGCAAGGAATACAAAGGCTCCCTTAAGGATGGAGCGAAGAGATTAGCAGGGCATTTATTAATACAAAGGGGGAAAATGCCAAGGTTGAAGTGTTAGCTAGTTGTGTATCCCATGTATGGGAAGAAAGGAACAAGAGGTGGTTCCAAAAAGTTCAAAGGGAACCAAAAGCGATAACCAGACATGTAAATCAGGAACTATTTCATCGAGGCAAAATGCTTCCACGTGTCCAGAACTGTCTGAGGCAGCTGAGCTACTATCCATAAAAGAATTCTAGAACTATAAGATAATTCGAAGAGTTTAGTAGTATAGGCAAATATCGCTGAAGGTACGGATGCCCAATTCAGTGATTTTTATTTCTATTCTAACATCGTTGGAAAATATAGTGTTGTAAATAATACTTGGATGATAAAATGTTTTTATTTTCCAAAAAAAAAAACCGCACATGAATTATATTAATAATTATTTAAAATAAAAATATCTAAATAAATTAGCAAGAACTAGCAGATCATGGTCGCTATTAACATTTAGTCAATTTTTAATTATTTTAATAAGGTTTACAAGCCTGGCTTTTACATTTAAAATAAAAAAAAATAATCAAAACAAAAAAAATTAATCAAACCAAAAATTTTGATATAACTATTCTTCTATATAAATGAAAAAAATTCAATAAGATAAAAAGGCAAACCAAATTAAGGAGTGGAACTAGAAAAAGTAGTTGTAAAATGGTAGAACTTCAAATGCTCATAACTTTGGCCTCAGATGTCCGTTTCAGGCGATATTTTTTTAATCTGGGTATTTTCTCGAGATCTATGCGACCAAACAGCCATAAGGCAGTTTGACCGAGCGAATTTTCTCATAAATGCCTTTAACCCATCCAGATTTGAATTTCCCCCAATTTGGCTGAGGATTTTTATTCCTTTTTAGTAAAAATCTGATTAAAAAAATTGATTTTGAGTTCAAAATACCTTGGTAATGCGTATGTGAATGTCAAATTTAATATTGAATAATCAATTGTAGCAAACGAGGTACTTACTATTAGCGGACAAAATAAAAAATAAAAAATGTTCATTAAATAATTACATGATAATTGCCTTGTTGGTTTAGCTTCTACTATTTTTTTTACCTCCACAATGTAGGTTCAAACCTAGGAAAAAGTGATTAAAATAAATACGACTGCCTAACAAAACATTGTTATGCATGAAGTGTGGCCTAATGTTCACTCCCTTTTGAATTTTGAATAGGTTGGGTATTCACATGTTGCCAACTCGACGTGTTGTGGTGCACGACGTATGGTGGTCAGGGGCAATGGTGCCCATTACACGTCCAGGATCCGCATCCAATGTTGTGGTGTAGTACCGTGTGCAGGATTATGAATGAATCATTCCAAGTTAAAATTTGGGGCTAGAAGCGATGCATGCCCCCACCATAACACACTTGCCGACCAGCACTAGCCTCCAAAGGCATGTGTCGTTGTCTAGGACGTCATGACAGAAGCATCGTGGTGCTCCGGGCGCCAGATCTATGGGCTAATACACATGAAAAATTGTGGAATTTAGGTGGTTCTTAAAAATGGGCTTGTAAATGCGGAAATGGGCGTTAAAAAAATGATGTGAGTATACGTGAAGGTTCCCGAACTCATTATGGAGGTCCTCATAAAGTTTTTTGAGAAAAAATTCTTGAGTGCTCCGGGTGTCAGATTAATGGGATAATACACACGAAAAATTAGAGAATTTAGGCGGTTCTTAAAAAAAGGGATTGTAAATGCGGCGTTAAAAATGGTGTGAGTATATGTGAAGGTTCTTCAACTCATTACGGAGGTCCTTATAAATATTTTTGAGCAAAACATTTCGGGTTCTCTGGGCGCCAGATCCATTGGCATTACACACGAAAAATCAGGGAATTTGGGTGGTTCGTAAAAAAGGGCTTGTAAATGCGGAAATGGGCATTAAAAAAATGGTGAGAGTAGACGTGAAGGTTCCCCCAACTCATTACAGAGGTCGTCATAAAGTTTTTTGAGAAAAAAAAATTGGGTGCTCCGAGCGCCAGATCCATGCCATATGCACGAAAAATTAAGGAATTTGGGTGGTTCTTAAAAAAAGGATTATAAATGAGGAAATAGGCGTTAAAATAATGATGTGAGTATACGTAAAGGTTCCTTAACTCATTACGGAGATCCTTATAAAGTTTTTTGAGAAATTTTTTTTGGTTACTCCAGGTTCTAGATTCATGGGCTAATACACACGAAAAATTGGGAAATTTGGGCGGTTGTTAAAAAAGGTCTTGTAGATGCAAAAATGGGCGTTAAAAATGGTGTGAGTTTACGTGAAGGTTACCAACTCATTATAGAGGTCCTCATAAAAAAATTTGAGAAAAAAATTTAGGGTGCTCTGGGCAACAGATCCATGGGCTAATACACACGAAAAATTGAGAAATTTAGGCGTTTCTTAAAAAGGGGCTTGTAATGCGGAAACGGGCGTTATAAAAATGGGGTGAGTATATTAGAAGGTTCCTCAACTCATTAAGGAGGTCCTCATAAAGTTTTTTGAGAAAAAAAAAATCCAGATGCTCCGGGCGCCAGATCCATGGGCTAATACACACGAAAAATTGGGGAATTTCGACGGTTATTAGAAAAGGGCTTGTAAATGCAGAAATGGGAGTTTAAAAAGTGGTGTGAGTATACGTGAAGGTTCCCCAACTCATTAAGGAGGTCATCATAAAGGTTTTGAGAAAAAAATAATTCGGGTGCTCCAAGCGCCAGATCCATGGGCTAATATTAACACATGAAAAATTGAAGAATTTAGACGATTCTTAAAAAAGGGCATGTAAATGCAGAAATGGGATTAAAAAAATGGTGTGAGTATACGTGAATGTTCACAAACTCATTACGGAGGTGCTCATAAAGTTTTTTGAAAAAAAGAATTTTGGGTGCTCTAGGCGCCAGATCTATGGGCTACTACACACAAAAAATCAGGGAATTTTAGCGGTCTTAAAAAAGGGTTTTTCAATGCGAAAATGGGCATAAAAAAATGTTCTGAGTATACGTGAAGGTTCCCAACTCATTACGGAATTCCTCCAAAAGTTTTTTGAGAAAAAAATTATGGGTTCTCCGGGCACCAAATCCATGAGTTATACACACTAAAAATTGGGGAATTTGGGTGATTCTTAAAATAGGGCTTGTAAATGCGGAAATGGGCGTTAAAAAAATGATGTGAGTATACATGAAGGTTCCCCAACTCATTACGGAGGTCCTCATAAAGTGTTTGAGAAGAAAAAAATTGGGTGCTCCGGGCTCCAGATCCATGTGCTAATACACACGAAAATTTGGGGAATTTGGGCGGTTCTTAAAAAATGGCTCGTAAATGCAGAAATAGGCGTTAAAAAAATGGTGTGAGTATACGTGAAGGCTCCCCAATTCATTATGGAGGTCCTCATAAAGTTTTTTGAGAAAAGAATTCTAGGCGCCAGATCCATGGGCTAATACACACGAAAAATCAGGAAAGGTTCCCAAATCGTTAAACAGGTCCTCATAAAGTTTTTTGAGAAAAAAATTACGGAAGCTTCGGGCGCCAAATCCATGGGATAATATTAACACACGAAAAATTGATAAATTTGGGCGATTCTTCAAAAAGGCTTGTAAATACAGAAATGGACGTTAAAAAAATGGTGTGAGTAAACTTGAAGGTTCCCAACTCATTACAGATGTCTTCATAAAGTTTTTTGAGAAAAGAATTATGGGTGCTCTGGGCGCCAGATCCATGGACAAACGAAAAATTGGGGAATTTGAGCGTTTCTTAAAAATGGGCTTGTGAATGCAAAAATGGGCATTAAAAATGTTGTGAGTATATGTGAAGGTTCCCCAACTAATTATGGAGGTCCTCATAAAAATTTTTGAGAAAAAAAGTTTGCGTGCTCCGGACGCCAGATCCATGGGCGAATACACACGAAAAATTGGGGAATTTTGGCGGTTCTTAAAAAAGGGCTTGTCAATGCTGAAATGGGGGTTAAAAAAATGGTGGGAGTATACGTGAAGGTTCCAAATAATTACAAAGGTCCTCATAATATTTTTTGAGAAAAGAAAATTTTGGTTCTTTAGGCGCCAGATCCATGAGCGTTGTTCATATTGTCTGAAATCCATTTTCAACCCTCGCAAATCGCGAATACGAGAGCTGCTACTGAGTACTGAGTGAACGGATAAAAGGAGATTGGAGAGAAATCCGTTCCACCTTCATCACATATACACACGAAAAATCAGGAATTTGGGCGGTTCTTAAAAAAGGGCTTGTAAATGCGGAAATAGGTATTAAAAAATGGTATGAGTATATGTGAAGGTTCCCCAACACATTATGGAGGTCCTCATAAAGTTTTTGAGAAAAAAAAATTGGGTGCTCCGGGTGCCAGATCTATTTTCTAATACATATGAAAAATCGAGAAATTTGGGCGATTCTTAAAAAAAGGGCTTGTAAATGTGGTAATGGGTGCAAAAAATGGTGTGAGTATACGTCAAGGTTCTCCAACTCATTACGGAGGTCCTCATAAAGTGT